TATTTGTACACAGGGCTATAAGACCCCCAGGAGTATGAGAGTATTTATATATATGTATTTGTACACAGGGCTATAAGACCCCCAGGAGTATGAGAGTATTTATATATGTGTATTTGTACACAGGGCTATAAGACCCCCCAGGAGTATGAGAGTATTTATATATGTGTATTTGTACACAGGCTATAAGGACCCCCCAGGATATGAGAGTATTTATATATGTGTAATTGTGTACACAGGGCTATAAGACCCCCCAGGAGTAATGAGAGTATTTATATATGTGTATTTGTACACAGGGCTATAAGACCCCCCAGGAGTAATGAGAGTATTTATAATATGTGTATTTGTACACAGGGCTATAAGACCCCCCAGGAGATGAGAGTATTTATATATGTGTATTTGTACACAGGGCTATAAGACCCCCCAGGAGTATGAGAGTATTTATATATGTGTAATTTGTACACAGGGCTATAAGATCCCCCAGGAGTAGTGAGAGTATTTATATATGTGGTATTTGTACCACAGGGCTATAAGACCACCCCAGGAGTATGAGAAGTATTTATATATGTGTATTTGTACACAGGGCTATAAACCCCCAGGAGTATGAGAGTATTTATATATGTGTATTTGTACACAGGGCTATAAAAGACCCCCCAGGAGTATGAGAGTATTTATATATGTGTATTTGTACACAGGGGCTATAAGACCCCCCAGGAGTATGAGAGTATTTATATATGTGTATTTGTACACAGGGCTATAAGACCCCCCAGGAGTATGAGAGTATTTATATATGTGTATTTGTACACAGGGCTATAAGACCCCCCAGGAGTATGAGAGTATTATATATGTGTATTTGTACACAGGGCTATAAGACCCCCCAGGAGTATGAGAGTATTTATATATGTGTATTTGTACCAAGGGCTATAAGACCCCCCAGGAGTATGAGAGTATTTATATATGTGTATTTGTACACAGGGCTATAAGACCCCCCAGGAGTATGAGAGTATTTATATATGTGTATTTGTACACAGGGCTATAAGACACCCCAGGAGTATGAGAGTATTTATATATGTGTATTTGTACACAGGGCTATAAGACCCCCCAGGAGTATGAGAGTATTTATATATGTGTATTTGTACACAGGGCTATAAGACCCCCCAGGAGTATGAGAGTATTTATATATGTGTATTGTACACAGGGCTATAAGACCCCCCAGGAGTATGAGAGTATTTATATATGTGCATTTGTACACAGGGCTATAAGAACCCCCCCTAGGAGTATGAGAGTATTTATATATGTGTATTTGTACACAGGGCTATAAGACCCCCCAGGAGTATGAGAGTATTTATATATGTGTATTTGTACACAGGGCTATAAGACCCCCCCAGGAGTATGAGAGTATTTATATATGTGTATTTGTACACAGGGCTATAAGACCCCCCAGGAGTATGAGAGTATTATATATGTGTATTTGTACACAGGGCTATAAGACCCCCCAGGAGTATGAGAGTATTTATATATGTGTATTTGTACACAGGGCTATAAGACCCCCCAGGAGTATGAGAGTATTTATATATGTGTATTTGTACACAGGGCTATAAGACCCCCCAGGAGTATGAGAGTATTTATATATGTGTATTTGTACACAGGGCTATAAGACCCCCCAGGAGTATGAGAGTATTTATATATGTGTATTTGTACACAGGGCTATAAGACCCCCCAGGAGTATGAGAGTATTTATATATGTGTATTTGTACACAGGGCTATAAGACCCCCCAGGAGTATGAGAGTATTTATATATGTGTATTTGTACACAGGGCTATAAGACCCCCCAGGAGTATGAGAGTATTTATATATGTGTATTTGTACACAGGGCTATAAGACCCCCCAGGAGTATGAGAGTATTTATATATGTGTATTTGTACACAGGGCTATAAGACCCCCCAGGAGTATGAGAGTATTTATATATGTGTATTTGTACACAGGGCTATAAGACCCCCCAGGAGTATGAGAGTATTTATATATGTGTATTTGTACACAGGGCTATAAGACCCCCCAGGAGTATGAGAGTATTTATATATGTGTATTTGTACACAGGGCTATAAGACCCCCCAGGAGTATGAGAGTATTTATATATGTGTATTTGTACACAGGGCTATAAGACCCCCCAGGAGTATGAGAGTATTTATATATGTGTATTTGTACACAGGGCTATAAGACCCCCCAGGAGTATGAGAGTATTTATATATGTGTATTTGTACACAGGGCTATAAGACCCCCCAGGAGTATGAGAGTATTTATATATGTGTATTTGTACACAGGGCTATAAGACCCCCCAGGAGTATGAGAGTATTTATATATGTGTATTTGTACACAGGGCTATAAGACCCCCCAGGAGTATGAGAGTATTTATATATGTGTATTTGTACACAGGGCTATAAGACCCCCCAGGAGTATGAGAGTATTTATATATGTGTATTTGTACACAGGGCTATAAGACCCCCCAGGAGTATGAGAGTATTTATATATGTGTATTTGTACACAGGGCTATAAGACCCCCAGGAGTATGAGAGTATTTATATATGTTTATTTGTACACAGGGCTATAAGACCCCCCAGGAGTATGAGAGTATTTATATATGTGTATTTGTACACAGGGCTATAAGACCCCCCAGGAGTATGAGAGTATTTATATATGTGTATTTGTACACAGGGCTATAAGACCCCCCAGGAGTATGAGAGTATTTATATATGTGTATTTGTACACAGGGCTATAAGACCCCCCAGGAGTATGAGAGTATTTATATATGTGTATTTGTACACAGGGCTATAAGACCCCCCAGGAGTATGAGAGTATTTATATATGTGTATTTGTACACAGGGCTATAAGACCCCCCAGGAGTATGAGAGTATTTATATATGTGTATTTGTACACAGGGCTATAAGACCCCCCAGGAGTATGAGAGTATTTATGTGTATTTGTACACAGGGCTATAAGACCCCCAGGAGTATGAGAGTATTTATATATGTGTATTTGTACACAGGGCTATAAGACCCCCCAGGAGTATGAGAGTATTTATATATGTGTATTTGTACACAGGGCTATAAGACCCCCCAGGAGTATGAGAGTATTTATATATGTGTATTTGTACACAGGGCTATAAGACCCCCCAGGAGTACATAGCGACCCAGGGCCCGCTCCCAGAGACCAGGAATGATTTCTGGAAGATGATCCTCCAGGAGAAGAGCTGTGTGATCGTGATGCTGACGCAGTGCAGCGAGAGACGCAGGGTGAGTACTACTGAGTACTACTAAGTACTACTGAGTACTACTGAGTACTTATATACACCTGTACTACACTACTACACCTGTACTCAGTGGCGGCGCCAGATATTTTCTCTAGGGGGTGCTGTGGGGTAGCTTGACGTTTCATAGAGGGTGCTCAAACATTAAGGGTTTCCCATTAATGCACCAGCGCTACAGTTGAATTTTCTACTGCAACACTCCCCACACTCACACACACACACACACACACACACACACACACACACACACACACACACACACACACACACACACACACACACACACACACACACACACACACACACACACACACACACACACACGGTGTACCCGCGACTGTTACAATGAAGGCTCGGTACTCAGCTCACGGCATATAGGTGTGGGTAAAGTGCTATTTTTACAAGTGGGGGGTGGACCTCACCTCCTCTAGGAGGGTCCTCACCTCCTCTAGGAGGGACCTCACCTCCTCTAGGAGGGAAGATTTATTTTTAAATATTGAAGTTAAAAGCATCAATCTGGTGCACTTTGAGAGCCAAAATGAAGAGATCTATGGAGACATCTCTCAACACCCAGATGAAACAGAACCGTAAACAGATTTTCTATTTCTTTATAGATATTTTACAAATCACTCCCCTTTTAAAACAAACCGTTTGAGACCCACTGAGATAACTAGACTAAAGTTAACTATCTAAACACTGAGAGCCCTTTACTTCACCTGAGCTGAGGTTATATGAGACTCTCCGTCTGACAGGAGAGAGTTCTCCCTCCACCTTGATGTTGAAAAAGCTCCTTATATCCGTTAGCTTGGCTAGCTAGCACCAGATGCTAACCACAACGATCTCCGGTAGATACCCACCGGTGTGCGAGCTCTCTCTCTCGCGCACGCACACAAAATGGCTCGTGCCACACACACACACACACACACACACACACACACACACACACACACACACACACACACACACACACACACACACACACACACACACACACACACACACACACACACACACACACACACACACACACACACACACAGAGCATGCATGAAACACAGAGACCCAGAAGTAAGCTACTCACGAGGCCTATTATGTGCAGAATCCCTCTCGCTTTCAGTTGGTTTTGATTGAGTGTCCACACGTGGACGTTTAAGGACTAAAAAACGATCCATTTGTCACTTTGCTGTTAGCAAATCATTTGGCGCTCTAGCTAACAGGAAGTCACTCAAGTGTCACAAAGTTATTTAGCCTATGGGTAGGTCAAAAATCGAATGGGTGCTGGCCATTGGCCTAATCATATCACCTGTGTTGGCTTTATGTTTTTGGTCAAACATTTATTTGTTTCACATTTGCATGTAATCAATAATGTTTCTGATTTAATTTAATAAAAATAATAATAATTTTAGAAAAAAAAACGCATATTTCTTGGGGGAGCTAGGGGGTGCTTCAGCCGCCTGTACTACATACACTGACGCAGTGCAGCGAGAGACAGAGGGTGTGTACTCAGTACTGCAAAGTACTGCAAAGTACTGAGTACACCTGTCAGGTACTTTATATATACTTTACCTCAGCTGCATGTCTCAGGTGTGTGTACTACAGGTGTGTGTCTCAGGTGTGTGTATACAGGTGTGTGTGTATCAGGTGTGTGTATACATGTGTGTGTCTCAGGTGTGTGTATACAGGTGTGTGTGTATCAGGTGTGTGTATACATGTGTGTGTCTCAGGTGTGTGTATACAGGTGTGTGTGTCCCCCAGGTGAAGTGTACTACAGGTGTGTGTGTCTCAGGTGTGTGTAATCCAGGTGTGTGTGTGTGTGTCCCAGGTGAAGTGCGACCACTACTGGCCGTTCTCAGACGAGCCGGTTCTGTACGGAGAGATCAGCGTGGAGCTGCTGTCGGAGAGCGAGGCTCCGGAGTGGATCGTCAGGAAGTTCAGACTGGGATACGTGAGTCACCTGGGGGGGGGGAGGATACCTGGGGGTGGTGTATTGTACTGTGTATTACTGAGATATTTACAGACCAGCACAGAGTTAAAGGAGCCTCCAGGGGGCGCCACCACCCTGTCTAAATCCTATAGAATAAAGGGTTTATTTAGTGATTACTTTTAAAGTTATGACATGATTGCAGTTTTTCACATAATTAAAAAAATATTACTTAAATATTATATTAAACAATCTTTATGTTTATATACTTTTTTAGATTTTTCTTTTTTTTAGTAAAATGTCTTTTTTTCAATACTTTTATCAGTTGGTATGTTTTTTACATCTATCTGAAATGCTACAGCTTTATGAGATCAAAGGCACTTTATTGGGATCATAAATACATGGGTCCTGATATTGGAGCTCACCGCTGACCAGTGAGAGTTTCCTAACACCAACTCTCCCCCCAGGCGGACGAGTCCCAGGACGTCCTGCACCTGAACTACACATCGTGGCCGGATCACGGCGTGCCGACGGTGAACGCCATCGAGAGCATCCTGCAGTTCGTGAGCATCGTGCGTCAGCAGGCCGGGAGGAGCAAGACCCCCGTCACCGTGCACTGCAGGTTACTATCTTCAATCACCTATTCACTAAGGGTTACTGACGTCACGTGCAGTGCAGGCTAATCGGCTTTATTGTCTTCGTATTTGTTTTGGTCTCCGTCCTGCAGATGTGTCATGCAAACATAGAACACACGGACACTGACACACTATTGCTGATTACATGTGTTTATTGAGGAGTTTATTGGGCTTGGTGAGAGAGTAAAGCTGCTTTCAGGGACCGTGAATCCCCTCCTGGAGGTTTCATTTCCATGTGTCTCTGCGTGGTAGAATAAGAGCCTGAACTTCTGCTCTGCTTTGTGTTGGTAATCTTTGTTATTCACTGAGCTTTATGTGTTTTAATGCTGTGTTTCAGTGCGGGGGTGGGCCGCACCGGCACCTTCATGGCTCTGGACCGCCTGATGCAGCACATCAGAGAGCACGAGTTCACTGACATCCTGGGTTTGGTCTCTGAGATGAGGTCGCACCGGCTGTCCATGGTGCAGACCGAGGTAAACATGGAGGAAAGAGACCTGGAGCAGGAGCAAAGGGTTAATGTGGGGTTTGGTCAGGATTCAAAGGGTTAATGTGGGGTTAGATAAGAATTCAAAGGGTTAATGCGGGGTTTGGTCAGGATTTAAAGGGTTAATGTGGGGTTAGATAAGAATTCAAAGGGTTAATGTGGGGTTAGATCAGGATTCAAAGGGTTAATGTGGGGTTTGGTCAGGATTCAAAGGGTTAATGTGGGGTTTGATCAGGATTCAAAGGGTTAATGTGGGGTTTGATAAGGATTCAAAGGGTTAATGTGGGGTTTGATCAGGATTCAAAGGGTTAATGTGGGGTTAGATCAGGATTTAAAGGGTTAATGTGGGGTTTGGTCAGGATTCAAAGGGTTAATGTGGGGTTTGATCAGGATTCAAATGGTTAATGTGGGGTTTGATCAGGATTCAAAGGGTTAATGTGGGGTTTGAGCAGGAGCAAAGGGTTAATGTGGGGTTTGAGCAGGATGCAAAGGGTTAATGTGGGGTTTGGTCAGGACTCAAAGGGTTAATGTGGGGTTTGGTCAGGATTCAAAGGGTTAATGTGGGGTTAGATAAGAATTCAAAGGGTTAATGCGGGGTTTGGTCAGGATTTAAAGGGTTAATGTGGGGTTAGATAAGAATTCAAAGGGTTAATGTGGGGTTAGATCAGGATTCAAAGGGTTAATGTGGGGTTTGGTCAGGATTCAAAGGGTTAATGTGGGGTTTGATCAGGATTCAAAGGGTTAATGTGGGGTTTGATCAGGATTCAAAGGGTTAATGTGGGGTTTGATCAGGATTCAAAGGGTTAATGTGGGGTTAGATCAGGATTTAAAGGGTTAATGTGGGGTTTGGTCAGGATTCAAAGGGTTAATGTGGGGTTTGATCAGGATTCAAAGGGTTAATGTGGGGTTTGATCAGGATTCAAAGGGTTAATGTGGGGTTTGATCAGGATTCAAAGGGTTAATGTGGGGTTTGAGCAGGAGCAAAGGGTTAATGTGGGGTTTGAGCAGGATGCAAAGGGTTAATGTCGGGTTTGGTCAGGACTCAAAGGGTTAATGTGGGGTTTGGTCAGGATTCAAAGGGTTAATGTGGGGTTTGGTCAGGATTCAAAGGGTTAATGTCGGGTTTGGTCAGGACTCAAAGGGTTAATGTGGGGTTAGATAAGAATTCAAAGGGTTAATGCGGGGTTTGGTCAGGATTCAAAGGGTTAATGTGGGGTTTGATCAGGATTCAAAGGGTTAATGTGGGGTTTGGTCAGGATTCAAAGGGTTAATGCGGGGTTTGATCAGGATTCAAAGGGTTAATGTGGGGTTTGGTGAGGATTCAAAGGGTTAATGCGGAGTTTGGTCAGGATTCAAAGGGTTAATGCGGGGTTAGATCAGGATTCAAAGGGTTAATGTGGGGTTTGGTCAGGATTCAAAGGGTTAATGTGGGGTTTGATCAGGATTCAAAGGGTTAATGTGGGGTTTGATCAGGATTCAAAGGGTTAATGTGGGGTTTGATCAGGATTCAAAGGGTTAATGTGGGGGTTAGATCAGGATTTAAAGGGTTAATGTGGGGTTTGGTCAGGATTCAAAGGGTTAATGTGGGGTTTGATCAGGATTCAAATGGTTAATGTGGGGTTTGATCAGGATTCAAAGGGTTAATGTGGGGTTTGAGCAGGAGCAAAGGGTTAATGTGGGGTTTGAGCAGGATGCAAAGGGTTAATGTGGGGTTTGGTCAGGACTCAAAGGGTTAAGGTGGGGTTTGGTCAGGATTCAAAGGGTTAATGTGGGGTTAGATAAGAATTCAAAGGGTTAATGCGGGGTTTGGTCAGGATTTAAAGGGTTAATGTGGGGTTAGATACGAATTCAAAGGGTTAATGTGGGGTTAGATCAGGATTCAAAGGGTTAATGTGGGGTTTGGTCAGGATTCAAAGGGTTAATGTGGGGTTTGATCAGGATTCAAAGGGTTAATGTGGGGTTTGATCAGGATTCAAAGGGTTAATGTGGGGTTTGATCAGGATTCAAAGGGTTAATGTGGGGTTAGATCAGGATTTAAAGGGTTAATGTGGGGTTTGGTCAGGATTCAAAGGGTTAATGTGGGGTTTGATCAGGATTCAAAGGGTTAATGTGGGGTTTGATCAGGATTCAAAGGGTTAATGTGGGGTTTGATCAGGATTCAAAGGGTTAATGTGGGGTTTGAGCAGGAGCAAAGGGTTAATGTGGGGTTTGAGCAGGATGCAAAGGGTTAATGTCGGGTTTGGTCAGGACTCAAAGGGTTAATGTGGGGTTTGGTCAGGATTCAAAGGGTTAATGTGGGGTTTGGTCAGGATTCAAAGGGTTAATGTCGGGTTTGGTCAGGACTCAAAGGGTTAATGTGGGGTTAGATAAGAATTCAAAGGGTTAATGCGGGGTTTGGTCAGGATTCAAAGGGTTAATGTGGGGTTTGATCAGGATTCAAAGGGTTAATGTGGGGTTTGGTCAGGATTCAAAGGGTTAATGCGGGGTTTGATCAGGATTCAAAGGGTTAATGTGGGGTTTGGTGAGGATTCAAACGGTTAATGCGGGGTTTGGTCAGGATTCAAAGGGTTAATGCGGGGTTTGGGCAGGATTCAAAGGGTTAATGCGGGGTTTGATCAGGATTCAAAGGGTTAATGTGGGGTTTGGGCAGGATTCAAAGGGTTAATGCGGGGTTTGGTCAGGATTCAAAGGGTTAATGTGGGGTTTGATCAGGATTCAAAGGGTTAATGTGGGGTTTGGGCAGGATTCAAAGGGTTAATGCGGGGTTTGATCAGGATTCAAAGGGTTAATGCGGGGTTTGGGCAGGATTCAAAGGGTTAATGCGGGGTTTGGTCAGGATTCAAAGGGTTAATGTGGGGTTTGGTAGAAAAGCAAAAGATAGTCAGTGTTGTATTTATTGTAAAAAGTCATAAAATAGTTAAATAAGCAGTAACAAAGTTGTGTGTGTGTGTGTGTGTGTGTGTGTGTGTGTGTGTGTGTGTGTGTGTGTGTGTGTGTGTGTGTGTGTGTGTGTGTGTGTGTGTGTGTGTGTGTGTGTGTGTGTGTGTGTGTGTGTGTGTGTGTGTGTGTGTGTGTGTGTGCAGGAGCAGTACGTGTTCATCCATCAGTGTGTGCTGTTGATGTGGCAGAAGAAGAAGCAGCAGAGCTTGACCTCAGACGTGATCTACGAGAACGCCAGCAAGACATAGAACCCGGAGAACCTGGAGAACCCGGAGAACCCTCCAACGTGAGTCCCGTGATCAAATAGAGTTAACAGACGGACACACTACATGTTAACTTTTCCACTTGCAGCACTATGACTTGTTCCTACTTCTCCACACGGGTCCAAACGGACTCTCCATGATAACACAACACGGGTCCAAACGGACTCTCCATGATAACACAACACGGGTCCAAGCGGACTCTCCATGATAACACAACACGGGTCCAAACGGACTCTCCATGATAACACAACACGGGTCCAAACGGACTCTCCATGATAACACAACACGGGTCCAAGCGGACTCTCCATGATAACACAACACGGGTCCAAACGGACTCTCCATGATAACACAACACGGGTCCAAGCAGACTCTCCATGATAACACAACACGGGTCCAAACGGACTCTCCATGATAACACAACACGGGTCCAAGCGGACTCTCCATGATAACACAACACGGGTCCAAACGGACTCTCCATGATAACACAACACGGGTCCCAGTCCTATGATACCAAACGGTCCAAACGACTCTCCATGATAACACAACACGGGTCCAAACGGACTCTCCATGATAACACAACACGGGTCCAAGCAGACTCTCCATGATAACACAACACGGGTCCAAACGGACTCTCCATGATAACACAACACGGGTCCAAGCGGACTCTCCATGATAACACAACACGGGTCCAAACGGACTCTCCATGATAACACAACACGGGTCCAAGCAGACTCTCCATGATAACACAACACGGGTCCAAACGGACTCTTCATGATAACACAACACGGGTCCAAACGGACTCTCCATGATAACACAACACGGGTCCAAGCGGACTCTCCATGATAACACAACACGGGTCCAAACGGACTCTCCATGATAACACAACACGGGTCCAAGCAGACTCTCCATGATAACACAACACGGGTCCAAGCGGACTCTTCATGATAACACAACACGGGTCCAAACGGACTCTCCATGATAACACAACACGGGTCCAAGCGGACTCTTCATGATAACACAACCCGGGTCCAAACGGACTCTTCATGATAACACAACACGGGTCCAAGCGGACTCTTCATGATAACACAACACGGGTCCAAACGGACTCTCCATGATAACACAACACGGGTCCAAGCGGACTCTCCATGATAACACAACACGGGTCCAAGCGGACTCTTCATGATAACACAACACGGGTCCAAACGGACTCTCCATGATAACACAACACGGGTCCAAGCGGACTCTCCATGATAACACAACACGGGTCCAAGCGGACTCTCCATGATAACACAACACGGGTCCAAGCGGACTCTCCATGATAACACAACACGGGTCCAAACGGACTCTCCATGATAACACAACACGGGTCCAAGCGGACTCTTCATGATAACACAACACGGGTCCAAGCGGACTCTTCATGATAACACAACACGGGTCCAAGCGGACTCTTCATGATAACACAACACGGGTCCAAACGGACTCTCCATGATAACACAACACGGGTCCAAGCGGACTCTCCATGATAACACAACACGGGTCCAAGCGGACTCTTCATGATAACACAACACGGGTCCAAACGGACTCTTCATGATAACACAACACGGGTCCAAACGGACTCTCCATGATAACACAACACGGGTCCAAGCGGACTCTTCATGATAACACAACACGGGTCCAAACGGACTCTCCATGATAACACAACACGGGTCCAAGCGGACTCTCCATGATAACACAACACGGGTCCAAGCGGACTCTCCATGATAACACAACACGGGTCCAAGCGGACTCTCCATGATAACACAACACGGGTCTGAGCGGACTCTTCCTGATAACACAACACAGGTCTGAGCGGACTCTTCCTGATAACACAACACGGGTCTGAGCGGACTCTTCCTGATAACACAACACGGGTCTGAGCGGACTCTTCCTGATAACACAACACGGGTCCAAGCGGACTCTCCATGATAACACAACACGGGTGTGAGCGGACTCTTCATAATAACACAACACGGGTCCAAGCGGACTCTTCATGATAACACAACACAGGTCCAAACGGACTCTCCATGATAACACAACACGGGTCTGAGCGGACTCTTCCTGATAACACAACACGGGTCTGAGCGGACTCTTCCTGATAACACAACACGGGTCTGAGCGGACTCTTCCTGATAACACAACACGGGTCTGAGCGGACTCTCCATGATAACACAACACGGGTGTGAGCGGACTCTTCATAATAACACAACACGGGTCCAAACGGACTCTCCATGATAACACAACACGGGTCCAAACGGACTCTCCATGATAACACAACACGGGTCCAAGCGGACTCTTCGTGATAACACAACACGGGTCCAAGCGGACTCTTCGTGATAACACAACACGGGTCCAAGCGGACTCTCCATGATAACACAACACGGGTCCAAGCGGACTGTTCATGATAACACAACACGGGTCCAAGCGGACTCTCCATGATAACACAACACAGGTCCAAGCGGACTCTTCGTGATAACACAACACGGGTCCAAGCGGACTCTCCATGATAACACAACACGGGTCCAAGCGGACTGTTCATGATAACACAACACGGGTCCAAGCGGACTCTTCATGATAACACAACACGGGTCCAAACGGACTCTCCATGATAACACAACACGGGTCCAAGCAGACTCTCCATGATAACACAACACGGGTCTGAGCGGACTCTCCATGATAACACAACACGGGTCTAAACGGACTCTCCATGATAACACAACACGGGTCCAAGCAGACTCTCCATGATAACACAACACGGGTCCAAACGGACTCTCCATGATAACACAACACGGGTCCAAGCGGACTCTCCATGATAACACAACACGGGTCCAAGCAGACTCTCCATGATAACACAACACGGGTCCAAACGGACTCTCCATGATAACACAACACGGGTCCGAACGGACTCTCCATGATACCACAACACGGGTCCAAGCGGACTCTCCATGATAACACAACACGGGTCCAAACGGACTCTCCATGATAACACAACACGGGTCCAAACGGACTCTCCATGATAACACAACACGGGTCCAAGCAGACTCTCCATGATAACACAACACGGGTCCAAGCAGACTCTCCATGATAACACAACACGGGTCCAAGCGGACTCTCCATGATAACACAACACGGGTCCAAGCGGACTCTTCATGATAACACAACACGGGTCCAAGCGGACTCTCCATGATAACACAACACGGGTCCAAGCGGACTCTTCATGATAACACAACACGGGTCCAAGCGGACTCTTCGTGATAACACAACACGGGTCCAAGCGGACTCTTCGTGATAACACAACACGGGTCCAAGCGGACTCTTCGTGATAACGCAACACAGGTCCAAGCGGACTCTTCGTGATAACACAACACGGGTCCAAGCGGACTCTCCATGATAACACAACACGGGTCCAAGCGGACTGTTCATGATAACACAACACGGGTCCAAGCGGACTCTTCATGATAACACAACACGGGTCCAAACGGACTCTCCATGATAACACAACACGGGTCCAAGCAGACTCTCCATGATAACACAACACGGGTCTGAGCGGACTCTCCATGATAACACAACACGGGTCTAAACGGACTCTCCATGATAACACAACACGGGTCCAAGCAGACTCTCCATGATAACACAACACGGGTCCAAACGGACTCTCCATGATAACACAACACGGGTCCAAGCGGACTCTCCATGATAACACAACACGGGTCCAAGCAGACTCTCCATGATAACACAACACGGGTCCAAACGGACTCTCCATGATAACACAACACGGGTCCGAACGGACTCTCCATGATACCACAACACGGGTCCAAGCGGACTCTTCGTGATAACACAACACGGGTCCAAACGGACTCTCCATGATAACACAACACGGGTCCAAGCAGACTCTTCATGATAACACAACACGGGTCCAAGCGGACTCTCCATGATAACACAACACAGGTCCAAGCAGACTCTCCATGATAACACAACACGGGTCCAAGCGGACTCTCCATGATAACACAACACGGGTCCAAGCAGACTCTCCATGATAACACAACACGGGTCCAAGCGGACTCTCCATGATAACACAACACGGGTCCAAGCGGACTCTTCATGATAACACAACACGGGTCCAAACGGACTCTTCATGATAACACAACACGGGTCTAAGCGGACTCTCCATGATAACACAACACGGGTCTGAGCGGACTCTCCATGATAACACAACACGGGTCTAAGCGGACTCTCCATGATAACACAACACGGGTCCAAGCGGACTCTCCATGATAACACAACACGGGTCTAAGCGGACTCTCCATGATAACACAACACGGGTCCAAACGGACTCTTCATGATAACACAACACGGGTCCAATCGGACTCTCCATGATAACACAACACGGGTCCAAGCGGACTCTCCATGATAACACAACACGGGTCCAAGCGGACTCTTCATGATAACACAACACGGGTCCAAGCGGACTCTCCATGATAACACAACACGGGTCCAAGCGGACTCTTCATGATAACACAACACGGGTCCAAACGGACTCTTCATGATAACACAACACGGGTCCAAGCGGACTCTTCATGATAACACAACACGGGTCCAAGCGGACTCTCCATGATAACACAACACGGGTCCAAGCGGACTCTCCATGATAACACAACACGGGTCCAAACGGACTCTTCATGATAACACAACACGGGTCCAAACAGACTCTTCATGATAACACAACACGGGTCCAAGCGGACTCTTCATGATAACACAACACGGGTCCAAACGGACTCTTCATGATAACACAACACGGGTCCAAACGGACTCTTCATGATAACACAACACGGGTCTAAGCGGACTCTCCATGACAACACAACACGGGTCCAAACGGACTCTTCATGATAACACAACACGGGTCCAAGCGGACTCTTCATGATAACACAACACGGGTCCAAGCGGACTCTCCATGATAACACAACACGGGTCCAAGCGGACTCTCCAT